AGAAGACTTTTCCACACGGGCTTGGTAATTGATCGTGCGGTTTCCAGAGAAGAGCCGTGTTTTTTGTGGCGGGGGGGAATGTGATGATGCAAGCAGTTTTGGCGGGCGCCTGAATCTCACTCGTCACCGAACATCAAAAGGGAGGATGGAAGGTTCTGGCCGCTTGCCCGCACTGCTGCTGTCATACTGAGGACCCCTCTGTGAGTCTGCGGCTGCCCTCAGAGTGCCTGTGGCCTGTGTGCATTAAAAAAAAACTAGAACTTTGATTTGCCCAGGGCTAGACTGGAGGAAGACTTTATGTGGGCGGGCGTCCTGCTGCTGTTTCTGGGAGGTTGGGAGGCCCTCGATGTGAGGTGTCAACTGTGACGGAGAGTGTGACCGTTGAGCAAAGCTCAGTCTTTTTTCAGTGAATAAAGAATGGTCTCATTAATAGGCATTCTAGCCTGAAATCTTGACCTTAAAGAGATCAGTTTGGCCAAAAATGAAAATTCATTCATTCTCCCTCATGTCGTTTTAAAACCTGTTCAAATTCATTTCTTCTGCAGAACACAAAGGAAGATATTTTAATGAATATATTTTTTAGTGGATTCAATACCGTAGCAGTACATTTGGACTTTTAAGTACATTGTGATGCTTAATAAAGCACCCAAAAGTGTCTGTAGAAAAAAAAATTCCAGGTGCTGCGTTCTGTTTCGGTGAGGGAAAAAAAATGATATTTAAACAATTGAACAGTAAAATTAAGTCAGAAATGCACCTTTTGTTTTGTTGCGTAAAATAAATAAGGGAACATTTACGCCACTTTTTTGGGATGCACAATATATCGGTACCATATCAGTTATATTAAAAAAAGGTATTAATTATATTATAAATTCTGATATATTATATTATATATTCTGAATATATATATATATAACTATATATATATAACAACTGTGTTGTAATTAAATATTAATGTAAATATTATACATTTAATTTATTTTATATTATAATAGATAATCTATCATTTAACTATATAAATAAAATATATATTTTAATAACAATAATAATATGTAGTTTATTGTGTAGTGAATAAAACGCATCTGGAGAGATTCTGGATGAAGAAATGGTGTCTGATCTCTTGTCAGATGTTCTCTAACCTCATCTAGCATTATAGGAGAAAACTTCTATACTATTTTGGCAAATGGAGGTTTCAAAAGGTATTGAATAAAAGTGTACCACTAATTGTGTCCAATGTGTATTAGAGAAAAACATTTATTTCATAATGATATTCCCCCCCCCCCATTTAATTTATTTGCTTTATTCTAATACTTTAATAATGTTGTTAAAAGTAATTTTTAGCCAATTGCAAAATTAATACCCTTTTTTTATACTGTACATTATAACATTGTGAGGTCTAAATTCAATTGTAGCATTTAAATTGATTGATTTTAGTTTTGTTTTCAGTTTATTTATACAAAATAGTAAAATTTTAATACTGACAGTTCAGCCAAAACATTACAATAATTATTACTTTTGGCCTGTTATATCAGACAGAATTTTAATATCGTTGCATGCCTAACCTAACACATCTTTTTTTTTATTTGATCCTGCAAGTTTATTTTCAACCACTGTTTTAAAGGTCTCGGGTATGTACTAGCACGAGGCACTGTTGACTGTCAAAATAGTATCAGGCAAGCTTGTTTTCACCAGCTGCCCACACAGACACCACCGCGCTTACCCAGACAGCACTGAAAACACTGCATGTACTGCGGCCGTGTGATGACATTTCAAACCCTGTTTGACTCTCAAAGCTCACTGTCATCCTCTCTGAAGCCTTTAGACCTCCAGTAAGTCGGGCAGTGCAGTCAGCTGGGCTCGGTGTGGGGCGCAGGGAGGGATTGAGGTGAGGTTAGGCACTTTAGGATGGAAAATATAAAGCACAGCTGTGGGCCTTGGCCATCTTAGGAGCTGGGCCTTTTGCCCGCCTGCGGCAAGAGGACAAGTGCCATATTCCAGAGGCCAGTGAAGTACCAACCACATCCAACCAGAGCCGAAGTATATTGTGCAACTGGGCACCACAGTTAATTCAATGCAAAATAGCTGCGTGCAAAAGAAACCTCCCTGCGAGGAGCATCACCATGTCCAATAAGGGTAAGCTGTCATGTCAGGGGAAAAAATTACTAATGTACAGTTCCTTTCAAAAGCCTTATTTTGCTGATCATTATGCATGTTTTCTTAAAACAGCCTGGAAAATTTTTAACATTCAGAATATTTGAATGTAGCGAAGTACTCAGGAGAATTCAGGGATAATCTTAAGCAATGCACATATTATGATTTATATTTTATAAATAAATTCTTAGAACACAGTTCTAATATGTATATATAATATATTCATATGTGTGTGTGTGTGTGTGTGTGTGTGTGTAAATATTGTAAATATATTTTATAATATTATAATTCATAATCTATAATTTAACTATATAAATAAAATATATATTTTAATAACAATAGTATGTAATTTATTTGTGTAGTGAGAAAATAAAACGCACACACATATATATACAGTATGTGTGTGTGTGTGTGTGTGTGTGTGTGTATTATTATTTCTATATATAGAATTATATAGTGCATTTTTTCTCTACATAAAAAATATTTTTTTAAAAAGGCAAACAGAAAGAAATATTTGCTTTGACACAAATTTGCCATGTAGAAAATTTACTTTGACATGCAAAACACAGTTCTTAGCATAATGACTTTTCTCATGTGCATCTCTTAATTACAGGCAGTTTTCTAAACACAGTACATGGTCACATGACACAGTCTGCTAGTTTAGGGTGGGTGACACCTCTTACCCCACTCTCCCCCTCACCATAAACTTCTACTGCAAGGAATCTTTATTAACGGACCTCGGCCATTGAAATGAAACGTTACACAAATCAAGGCTGTAACGTCAACTACACCTACACTGGAGCAAAGAGCGCCAAGCCTCCCAGCCCACCAAGCCCAGTTATATATCCAGTTTCTCCAGCTGCAGTTCAGAAAGAGAAATCTGCCGTCTTAATATAGCCTCACAGCTGTGAGCCCAGAAGGAATGCAGGGCCTGGCTGCATTCATAAACTCAAAGACAGAATATCCTCCGCCTAATCAATGTGCGTGTCGTCTTCTTCCGATGCAAGCTTTGATGACCCTTACAAAGTCCGATCGGCATTGCCAAGACAAACTGCATTGGAGGCTGCGTGCATGTGTATATGCATGGATATGTGTGTGTGTGTGTGTGCGTCTTACAGACAGAACGGCTGGGATAGTTTTCACGCCATGAACACACCCCAGTCATGTTGTCATATAACCTCTGCTGAGCTCCAGGCCAGCGAGTCCAATGGCTGTCTGTGCAAAAGACAATCTTGGTTTAGGAATCACGACTTTACCACAGAATGGGCCGTTAAATCCGCACTCGTCCCATGAATCATGCTGAATCTAGTTGGAATTTGAATGTTTCTGCTATTCCCATGATGGCAACTGGTGTTTTCAGGGAGTTTGGACTATATTTAACATAGAATAGCACTTCTTCATCCTCTTTGGGTTGTTTGCCATGAATGTTTTAAGGGATTGTTCACACAAAAATTAAAATTGTCATAATTTCCTCAGCCTTGTCATTCCAAACCCATATTACTTTTTTTTCTATTGTGAAACACAAAAGAAGACTATTTGCAAAATGTTCACTCCGCTCTCTTTGATGCAATGTCAGTAAATAGTAACCAGGTCCTACCAGGACCAATGAAAATACCATAAAGGCATCATAAAAGTGGTCCATATGACTTCTACCCTATTTTTAAAGTCATTTGAAGTCATATAATAGCTTTAACTGAAAATGAAGTCATCATTCATTGATAATCATGCTTTAAATGTCTTGGTCACATTCACTTTTATTGTATGGGGGAAAAGAGCTAGAACATTCAGTTTTATTTTGTTTTGTTTTTTTACTTTTATGTCCCAGGGGTTAACTTTTATTAAAAATAGCAGATTTCAGCACTTTCATTTTGTAATATGAAGGTTGTATTTTAAAAAAAATGTAGTCTTGGAAACTTTATGCCATACCATTCTTAATTAATTTTTGCTCATTTTGCTCATTGTCCTTTATTTTATAGACTTTATAGACAGACGTAGACTTTGAATCTTACACCATCAAAATCCGTAATAAAAATGTGTTTTGCATGTTTAAAACTAATCTAAACAAAGAGTGAATGTTTTAAAACCATTTTAATATTTTGTGTGTGAAAATGATTTCTGGCAATTTTCGCACATGAAAATATGAGATGCTTGTGAACAGAAGATTTTGTGCAATTTCCAAAGTCAAGCTGTAATTTTGTTAAATTATGCAAGAAGTTTGAAACGTTTGTGTGCATTTTAAAGACAATTGTAAAATTAGCCTTACACTCCATAAAAAATTTTTTTTGTTGTAAATGAAGCGATGATTACTGGAATACATTTTACAAGAAAATGCCATTTCAGTCTTTCTACTTGAAAATGTAATATTTAATTCAATGTTACTTGCCATTTCTTTGTAATTATTTGTGACATTTACTAGCAACTTTTGAGTGTAAATTGTTTCAAAGTAAATCCTCCACTAAGTTTTTTCAGTATAGCAAAGATTTGTTCAAAATGCCATTTCATAGAATTCTGTTAAACACAATACATAATATGTGTTATGGTGGACACTATGATGGAAATTGTAATTTTTCATAAAAATAACTGACAAAAATGACCAAATTCTCCTGTGATGCATGCATCCACTGTTACTAGAAATAATAAACTAGTGAAAAGTTTGTTTTAAGAGGCTTTATTTTCCATGTCCAGAGGGACAAAAGTGCCCATATTTGGAAGAACTACCTATAAATATCTCCACCCAAGTAAATAATAAAGGATTGGAAAAACTGATGGTGAATAAACAATGACGGAACTTTCATTTTTGGCTGAACTATTCTTTCAGGAACTCATGTGCTCTTGTTTTTGTCTTTTTCAAGGACGGTGGTGATGCCAATTGCGAATGAGTTCGCACCAGACGTGGTGTTGGTTTCTTCAGGCTTCGACGCTGTGGAGGGGCATCCGCCACCTCTGGGAGGATACAAACTCACGGCCAAATGTAAGTGCTCTGCGTTCCCCTGTACTTAGGATGATTCTCGTGGGATGAAGCGGTTCGGAGCAAAAAGATGAGTCACTGACGTGGAAGTCTGCCTTTATCCCACTCCTCTCTCTCTCTCTCTCTCGCTCGTTTCTCATGTCTAAAGCTTTCATTTCAGTCAAATTTATCATGTGCTAATGCCACAAAAACAAGACACCACACTCTTGTGTGCAAAGCTTAATCCCTGAAGGGAGGGATTGTACCAGTCGTCTTTTCTCATACTTCCAGATCCCTAATGTTTTTCCTTCTTTGTTCCCATCTGTGCGTAATATCAAGATGGCATTCCGGGCTTGTTTCTAAATCAAACATTTAATGATTATATAGCACTTGTTGTTGGGGTCCAAAAGGCTGCTTTTATCCTGTTAGAGGGATCACAAGGCCGGCTTTTTTAGATTACATCTCCTGGTGAAAGCTGTCCATATGTCAGTGCTGGAAACGCAAAGTAGAAACACTGTTTGCCCAGAGACTAAAGAAAGGCAGGTTGTCCGATCTAAATTCGCACCATTCTTGCATGTAAAAGTAACTTTAAATCTGATTCAGTCCATCTGCTGGTCTAAGAATTGCTCAGTGATCTGTGACGGCGTTTGTTTTTCATTTATCTGCTTATCTTAAAGGAATAAGTCACCCATTAAGTAATTCTGATGTTATTTAGTCACCCTCATGTCGTTCCAAACTTCTTATGCTGTTTTTGTCTTGTATAATGTGATAGATTATAGTGACCAAATGTGTCATATGAGCTCTTAAAAGGACAAAAAGAACAATAAAAATAGGCCACGTTTATAAAAATATGCATGCCATATTTCAAGTCTTTTGAAGTCATATGATAGCTTTGTGTAAGAAACGGAATGAAACACATTAGTTTTTCTGTGATAATCTTCCTCTCTAACAGAGATCATAAATGTCAGGTTCAGATTCAAATATGAGGCCTTAAAATAGGGTTATTATAGTTAACCAAATCTAAAACCATTAAAAAAAACTTTTATTAGAATAAAATAAACGTTAACTGAAATAAAATCTTTTTCAGCTAGTTGCCAAGGCAACGTTTTTAGTTTAACTTGAAGTACTAAAATAAAATTAAATATACTAAAACAAATAAAGGAAAGATATTAAAAAAAAAAAAAAAGAAAAAAATAATAATAATAATAAAATTTATAAGTCAGGCTTTATATATATATGTA